TGGGGGGGGCGGCGCGTCTGGGATGGGGCCCCACCCCTGCCTTGAGGGGGCCCCTGCTGTGTCAGCAGAGGTCGGTGGAGCCGCTGAGCCTCCACTCCCTCACCTCTAACGGGGGCGGGGGGGGGGGGGGGGAGCCGTGACCAGACCTGCTCACGCGCCCGGGGCTCCCCTGGCCGCTGCGGCACGAGGGCAGGGGTACCTCAGGTAGCTGACGCCCCTCAGGCTGCTGCCGTTCACCTCCAGGATGCGGTCCCCCAGGGACAGCCGGCCGTCCGACGCTGCGGGACTGCCCGGGAGCAGGGTCTGGATGTAGAGCCCGGGCGCTCCCAGCGGTGTGTGCTGGGGGAGAGGCAGCGGCCTCAGGGCCCCATGCGCCCGGGAAAGGCTCCCTCCCGGGGTCTGCAGAGGGTCTGCAGGGGCAGCACCGGACACCCCCCCCCCCCCCCGCCCAGCCCCTGGTCCCCAGCTTTCCTCTGGTGCTGACCACAAAAGCCGTGGGCCCGTAGAGAGGGATCATGGAACAGGCGGAGCCCCGGGGGCCACTCACCATGCCGTCGATCAGGCCCATCCCCAGCCCCGAGGGGCCCCGCTCCAGCTCCACCACGAAGACATAGCAGAAGTCCTCCGTGGCGCCGGAGCTGCAGCTGGACGGGGCCGGAGGGGGCTCGTCCTCGGGACCCACACCGTCTCCTGGGCGGGCAAGGAAAAGGGCCCCTGTCTACGCTGCCGCAGCAGCATACCCCATCTCTGGGAAGCGTGCTCACAGAGCCCCAGCAGGTCCCCGACTGCCGTCGGGGAGGGGTGCAGACCCCCTCGGGGCCACGTGTGCCCGCGAGGGGCTACCTCCAGCGCCCCCGTGGTTGCCCTGGGACACAAGTCCCCGTCAGGCCGGCCGTTCCCAGGGCCTGAGCAGGGGGCTCTGCTCAGGCTCCCTCTCCCGCCACGGAGCTCTCCTGAGACCCTTCCCTCTGCACCTTCTGAGGGGGGACTCCGTGTCCATCCACCCCATGTCTGAGCCTGCCCCCTTCCTGAGCCGGGGCCCCCCTGAGGCTCCCGTGTCTTCTCTCCCCAGGAGGTCCGAGCTGTTGGCTGCAGACCCAGCACCACGAGGCAGGGGTCCTACCTCAGGCCCAGCTCTACCCGTGTGACCCCTGCCCTCGGGACACGCTCCGAAGTCTGCCAGAGCACGGCCCCCCCGCCCCCCACCTCACCCCTTCTCTGTGCTCGCCCCCTGAGCTAGCCATCCCTTCCTCTGCCCTGGGCGGAGCGACGTAGTCCCACAGATGGCCACGCGCGGCCCAGCTGCCCTCCGGCATCCCAGGCTGTGGGCGTTCGTGCGCAGGCACCGCAAGCCCAGGCCAAACACGCCACTAGGGCCTCGTGGGCGGCATGACCCCCAGCGGCTCTGCCAGGTGGCAGCAGGGCTGGGTGCCGGCGTGAGCCCGGGGACACGTCTCACCTTCTAGAGTTGTGTTCCTCCTCCCTTCTGGAAGTGCTTTCCCACAGGTGCTGCCAGGCTCGGGCCAGTCGGGGACGGCAGGCTCGAGGCCAAGTGGGGTGCTGGGAGGCGTCAGCAGGCACGAGGAGTCTACGTGCGAGGGGCCAGCCTGGGGACCCCCGCGGTTCTGCCTTCCCGGAGGGCCCTGTGCGCGGGGAGCCCCAGCGGAAGGCAGAGCACGTGCCTGGCCGGCTTCACGGGCTCCCCTGGAAACCAGCGGGCAGCTCTGGCCCTCGGGGTGCCCCTCCGGGGTGGTGTGGTGCGGGTCCTGGGGGGGCGGGGGAGGGCACGGGGTGGAGAAAGAGCTCAGGTACTCAGCTGCCCGGCATGGTGGGACAACCAAAGGGGCCCTGGGAGCTCCCAGGGGCGGCAGCCTGGCCCTGTGCTGGCTGCCCCTGTCCACCCGTCACCGGAGTCCATGCACTGACAGCTGGGCCCGGGTACCTCGAGGCACTCCGGCTGGGAAGGCGCACCGACGGGGCTGGGCTTGCTGCGCAGGCTCCACAGGAAGTGGCGGATATAGAGAAGGTGCTGGTAGATGCTGTCATCCAGGCAGTCCGCCTCTAAGTCTACCTGGAAGCCCTCGCTTGGCAACACGATGGGTGGGGGGTTTTCGTACGACTCCAGGACCTCCTCTGGGGGGGGCAGGGAGGACGAAGGGACCACCCAGCCAGGATTAGACTTCCTGCCCCGACCCCCAGGCGCGCCAGCCACCCCGCCCCACAGCGGTGGGACTGGGGACACAGCCATGAGGCATCTAGTCAAAAGTGACCTGCCCAAACCAGCGCTCGGCCCTTCTGCATCCAGTGACCGCCCAGGACGAGGCCAAGCTGCCCCCAGCAGAACGCCCACCACAGGGCAGGCCTCAGAAGTGAGAAGCCCAGAGTCCCGCTCAGAGCACTCGCTCCATCCAGGCCGAGGCCCTGGGGGGTGGGAGCCCTATTTCCAGCTGTGTCTTCTCCCTTCTTTTGTGTCCCATGTGCATCACGCAACGGAGAGAGAAGACCCAGAGAGCCCAATGTAGGCCGTGTGCCTGCACATATGTGGCAGGCACGCCATCTCTGCACACAGGGTGCGGGCCCTGCCCTCCTCCTGGTCGGCTGTGCCCCAAGCGAGGCCCCAAGCTCAGGCTCCTCGATGGGGAGGGGGACTGTGGACTCTGACCTCCCGCTGTGGGGGTCTCTGGGTCCCCAGGTGGGGGATGGGGCAGGGCGCGCCCAGAGGAAGGTGGCCCGGGGAGGGGGAGGTCCCAGATGCTCCCCAGGCTCCTCCAGCTAGTCCCCCAGGAGGCTCCCCTCTGCCCCCACATGGTGCACGAGGCCCCTGGCTCCTGCCCCCTGCCCCAGAGGCAGCTCACCTGACCTGAAGGCATCGGGGCTGTCCTGGACACCTGGCTCCCAGGCACTCATGGGGCCCATGGCCGAGGCCAGCTGGTACTGGGTCAGCAGCCGGCGTAGCTGCGCAGGGCTCAGGGTGGGGAACGCGGCCCGCAGGTCTGTCCAGCTCATCTGGGTGACAAGCAGCAGCTCATGGTCAGAGGCCCCTGGATGGCACAGCCACACCCCTGCGGGGGGGACTTCTAGGCGCTCTGGGGGCAGGGGCAGAGGGCCGGGGCTCCCTGGCCACGTGCTCTCAGCTCGCTCATGCAGGGCCTTTGGCACCGTGAGGTCAGTGAGGAGGTCAAAGCCCCATGGGCGTCCAGGGTGAGAGCCGGGGGGGGCTGTTCCTGGGGGGCAGCCAGCAGGCACCACACCCAGTGCTCTGTCCACCGAACGTGCCTCTCCCCACGTCACCTCGCAGGGCTGGGAAGGGCGGCAAAGAGCCCTGGGGATCCGGGGAAAGAGAGAGGGGATTCCCGACTCCCAGCGCCTAAGAGACCCAACCCGCCAGGCTGGGGCCCCGAGACTGGCTCTGTGGGCGCAGGACAGGGAGTCTTCCTCTGGGGGGACCAGCAGCCTGAGCTCGTGTGCAAAATGCAACAACTTGCACCATCCTCTGTGACCCTGGTCTCCACGGGCCAGGGATGTCCCTCCTCTCTTGTGTTCTGGAACCCTGTTTTCTGCTCTCTGGGCTAATTCTCATTTCTGTGACACAAGCCCTCACCACTGCCCCTGCCGTCAGGGGGCCCGGTCCACACTCATGCTCTCCGTGGCAGCGGCTCCCTTGTCCCCCAGCTTCTGATGTGGCCCTTGAAACTCGGAAACTGCTCTGACGGCTGATCCTCGGCGTGTGTCCCGTCTTTATTCTTCCAGGAAGTTCACAGGCTTCTCGCGGCCGTGGTCCTGACACCGCGGCGCTGCGCTCTCCGGAACCTCGGGGCGGGTGGGCCTGGGGACGTCTCGGTCCCCCCTGTGCCGCGGCCACCACCTCCTACTGTTTGGAGCCTGGGCCTCCCTGGCAGGTCCTTCTCTCGTCCCATCTTTGCCTTCACTCCTCTGCTTCTGTCTCTTCTGGGCTTCCTGCCAAGGGCCCTGGGCTGTGGGTAGCAAGTGCCTTTGCCGGAGGGACAAGCGTGGCCCGAGGCTACGTTGCGGGGGGGCACAGGGCAGCGCTGGGAGCACACACACCCCCCCCAAGCTCAGGACGGCCTCTGTTGGCCTGAGGCGGTGCCTCCCGGTTTTCTCAGTTCCGAGAACCCCGGCTTCCCTCCCCTGGCCGTGTAGCGTCCAGAGCTAGTGTCAGGGCGCCGGGGGCCCAGCACGCTCCCCTGCCCTCCTTCCCCCAAGTGCGGGGACACATTCTGGGTGACTTCCGGGACTTGGTGTCCGGATCTTGCCTCCGAATCCTTCCTCTCTGCTGCCAGCTTTAGTTTCCAAGAATCCTTTGGTTCTTTTATTTATAGAATGCGGTTATTGTCTTACGGACGCTAAGTCGTCTCTTTATGAAGATGTATTTTAAGTTCTTCCTCCCTGAGAAGTCCGTTTCGGGGGAAGGCAAACTATGGCCCGAGGCCTGTGTGTGTAGGGCCCTCCAGCTGAGAGTGGTTTTCACGTTTTATGAAGGGCTTAAGACGAAGAAGAATTCGGGATGGCGACTCTCTGTGGCCCACAAAGGCTGAAGTATCGAACCCCCCCGGCCCTTTACAGAGAAGCCTGCCAGCCCGATCCGTGCGCCCCCACCCCTCTCCCCACGGCCGTCCCTCCTGTCCCAGAGCGGGAGCCGAGTCTGCCTGGCCGGCTGGCGGCCACACCCCAATCTGCAGCCCACGCCCGGGCTGTCCCCGACCACCCGCCACTGGCGGGCCGGCACCTGCCGCGGGGACGGCACAGGCCCCCACCGAGCAGGCAACGGCCCACGGCCTCCGGCCCTCAGACGCTCCTTGGCCCCTAGGAAGCCCCCTTTCCGGAACGAGACTCCTGGTGTCAGGACGACGCCTGGTCTCTTGGCCTGGAGACCCTGGGTCGTCAACACTCCAGAGATCAGCCGGGGGCTTCTGGCGGCGTGAGGGGGCAGGCGCCGGCCACGCAGGAAGGGGCGGCCGAGGACCCAGCGCTGCTTCGTCCTGTGCGTCTCGTGCTGACGAGGGCCCGTGACCTGGGCGCGCGTGTCCGTGGGGGGAGAGCCATGGCGAGCTCTGACCGGGCAGCCAGGCGCCCCCGCTACGAATAAGTGTTTTCCCGGCACGACGGAGATGCAGTCGTTCCTGCTCCTTTTCGGCGTTCGCTCTGAAGATGTCCCCTTCCTCGTCTCGATGCTGGCGGTTTGTCATTTCCCACTCTACTACACTCTTCGAAGAGCCACTCTGGGCCTTTGGCTCCTCTCTTGTCTGCCCACAGACCTTCGGGTTTGGCGGCTCCGCTCCTGCACCAGGATCTTCCTTCTCGGCCCTGTTGTCCCCGTCGCGCATGGAGGCTACACGGTTTCCCCAGGAGCCAGGCTTCTCCGCTGCTCCGGCGGTCACCCGCCTCCTGGCCTCCACGGGGCCCGTCTCCTCCGTGCTCTTTGTCCCCCCGGGGGCTCGTGCCACCAAGAAGCCAACCAGATGCCTACGATGCATCTGCGATCCGCACACACGTGCCTGGTTTCTGAACTGCCTCTAGTGAACCCATGGGTCACTTTTAGAATTAAAAAAAAATAAAATAAAAATCCAGTAACTTAAAAGACACCTGAGCAGGACCTAGTCCCCAACACGTGGCAGACTATCCGCATGCGCTACGCGATCCTGGCCGGGGGCCTCGGCATGGCCAGCGCAAAGCAGAGGTCACTGTGCAGGTAGCTGGTCATACCGCGTGCTGCGGGGTGGACGGCAGCTGCCACCGTTACTGAGAGCCCCGGCGACCCAAACCCAGATGACACCTGCTGTGTGGTGATCCTGGGGCAGAGGCGGAGGGTCCGACTCTACAGCGGGCTGGCAGGTCCGCGGTCCCCGCAGGAGCCTCCTGCTGGCTACGCCCCAGGTGCCCGTTTGGTCCAGACGCTCCCGGCGGCGCCAGCCGTGCAGACCTCTCCCCGTCATCCCCGGGACGCGCCGGGTGTTTGGCCAGGCAGGAAAGGGACACCACCGGTTTGGTGTCAGGGATCATCCATGACGACTGTCAGGTAGCTACCGAGGGAGGAGAAGGAGGGGCTGTCCTAGCTTCCTGTCCTGCTTCCGACAAGTGACCACAAATGTGCACCCTGACAGTCCTGGGGGGTCAGACGCCTAGCAACCGTGGGGCCCAAACCGAGGAGCCAGCGAGGCTGCATTCTCCTTGCGCTCCTGGGCCGTCCGAATTCAGCGGAGGGGCTGTTCCAGCTTCCGGAGGCCGCCACAACGCACGGTCCGTCTTCAGAGCCAGCCGGGCCGTCGAGTCCCTCCTCCCGTCCTCTGTCGGACCCACGCTTCTGCCTCCCTCTCCCACTTCGAAGGGTTGTGTGCTTAGGGCCCAGCAGACAAGCAGGGGTAAGCGCCCCATCCCGGGGCCCCCAACCTCAATCACACGTGCAGAGCCCCCCGTGCCGTGTGGGGTCTGACATCGCGGGGGCCTTCTCCTGCCTGCAGGTGGGAAGGGCTGTGGGAGGGGAGCCACTCTGCGAGCTCTCAGGCGCCGCCCTACCTGGATGAGCTGTGCGCGGGGCGTGGCCAGCAGGTTGAGTGTGCAGGAAAGCTTCCGGAAGAAGCGCTCCCCGGCCTCCCCGCAGCCGGCGCTCCTCATCCACTCGAGGAGCTGCTGCAGGCGGGCGCAGGCCTGGACGCCTCTGGGCCAGTGGAAGCAGCTCAGAGAGGGGCCTGGGAGCGGGCAGGGAAGGTGACGCCCAGCTGCTCCCCACACGGCAGGCGTGCCCCCCACCCTCCCTAGGGGGGGCAGCCCAACGCCTGTCCTCCCCCACTCCAAGCCTCTGGGGACAGGCCTGACAACCGTACGTGGGTTTCCAAGGCCACTAGGCTGCTTCTGGACCCCTCTCTGGGGGGGGGGGCGTGGGAGGGGGCACGGATGGGGCTGGGACAGCCACGGAATCCCAAGTGCAGAGACTGTCCACACCTACAGCCAAGACGCCCTGCTCCCACCCGGATCCTGCCCGTGGAGCCCGACCAGCCGGGGGGGCCACGCTGGTGACACACGTGTGCCACGGGCCTGCACGTGTGGCATGCTCATGTCCCCGTGCCCCAGCGGGGCCTGGGGCTGGAAGAAACTGGCACCCCGAGCCCCTGGCAGTGAGGAGCCTGGGGGGCAGAGGCCAAGTCCCTCCTCGCTCCCCAGTGGGGCTGTGTGGGGGTAACAGGAACCAGGAAGGGCCCGAGCAGACCCCCAGCCCACCCCGGGGCCAGTGCAGACGCTGACGCACACTGATGCCGCCCCGAGCCCCAGCCTGCCCACCTGAACCCCAGGCAGCGAAATGCCTCGGCCCCCCCAGCACGCCCCAGCACCCGCTCGGCTTCTGCAGCAGGGGTGGGGTCCCCGCACTCCCCATCCCGGGCCTCACCCTTGTCCAGGAGCTGGTTGAAGAGCAGAGTGCCAGAGAAGAAGAAGAGGTAGGCCAGCACCTGGGAGGCTATCTCGGGGTGCACCCGGAACTGCCGCAGGAGGTCCAGGGTGGCCTGGTAGACAGACACGGCGTGGCGCAGCTCCTCGGGTAGCTGGGGGGCAGGGCAGCAGCTCTCCCGGCGCTCCGTCTGGAAAGGGGGGCACTCCAGCAGGGCCGGGAGGCAGACGTACAGGGACTGGGGATGAGAGGGAAACCCCAGCTGCACACGAGCCCCCCGCCTGGGCCAGATCGCAGGTCCTGCCGAACAGGCCCCAGCTTGCCCGGGGCCATGGGGGCTCGGGACTAGCTCTGGCTAAAGCTGCGGAGGACACCAGGAGGGGCACAGAGCCCGGGCCAAAGGGCTGCTGGAGATGCCCCACAGGTCTTGGGGGGGGGGCTGCACCCCTCGTCTTACCAGACAGAAGGGTGGCAAGGGGGCAGCCGGCTGGTCCCCTAAGGGACCACACTCCCAGTACCAGAGCACCCCTCCGGCGGAGCTGAGCCGGGCGCAGCAGCCTGGGGACCAGGCAACGGCCCCGGTGGAAGGCCTGGCAGGATGGCAGGCACCCACACTCGCCTCGGGGCTGACGGGGCAGCATCGGCTGCTCCCCAGAAACAAGGTGAAGGCACCACCTCCGAGGGGAGTCCCCGCTGCCACATCTCAAGGTGATCCTGGGGTGACAGGTTAAGGGCAACATGCATCCCCACTCGGACCCCTAGGGCACATGGATGGGGGGCTCCTTCCTGTTTGGCCAAGACACCGAGGCTGTGCCCTTCCCAACCCAGGGCTCCATGCAGCTGGGAGCAACTGAGCACAGGGCTGCCTGACTCGACCGTCTGAACTCCATGCGGAACAGACAGGGAATCCGGTTCTCCAAGCACTGTCCCCCGCATGCTGTCTCCAGCTAACCACTCTTGCTTCCTGCTGGAGAGCAGGGTGGCAGATTCCACGCTGCCACCAATCCCTCTAAGTTAAAACTCAGTCTCAGCAAATCCCCTGGGCTCCCCCAGACAGGACCACCTGCCACAGGGGCCCCTCCTCTCTCCACTCCCCTGCCTGTGCCCCCTCCTCCTTACCCTGAGGCTCCATTGTGCCCACAGTGCTTCCAGTGCCCACCAGTGCCCACGGAGCATGAGCTCCACCTTCCAAATCATTGCCCAGAGCAGCCAGCCCTCCAGCTCCCCAACACCACAGGCCCCTGCACAGCCGGTGGGCTCCCAGACAGGGGTGGGGCGAGCAGGAGGGCGAGGAGCTGGAAGCCAGGGTTCAAGTGCGTGGGGGCAGCTGTCCAGCTCAAAATCCTCAGCTCTCCCCATCCCGGTGCCCCTCCACCCAGGGGCACCAGGGCCAGGAGGAGCACACCGTGCCGCATCTGTCAACAAGCCGGCAGCGCCGTACCTTCGAGACGTAGTACACACACTGCTGGAAGGCGTACAGGATGACCTCCTCCAGGACCGCCATGGCCTCCTCGCTGGCCGTCAGCGTGCAGGAGAACAGGGACTCCTTGGAGCCTGCGAGGAGACAGCAGCTCACGGTCACCGTGTGGGGACGTGGGGGGCGCCCAGTTACCCCCGGAGTGCGCCCACCCAAGCCCCCATCTTGGGTTTGGGGATGTGATAACCAAAGCCACCCAGCCCGGCCGGCTGGCCGCACACCCGACTGCCGCACTTTCCCGGGGCTCCAGGGCTGAGATGCTGGCCAAGGCGGCCGGCCCCGCGCTTCCAGGCCCGGCAATGCTAAAGCGACGCGAGGCCCATCTGAAGCTCGTTACTGACTAGATTCCAGACACCTTGTCCACCGAACCAGCTGCCCCAGCAAGAGCAGATTCTGCCCCAGTTCCCCTGCAGCCGCCTCTCACCCCGGACGCAGGTCAAAGGAACATCGGCCAGAGCTCCAAAGGAGACCGTCACTCCACAGAAGCGTGACGTTTCCAAGGAGAGAGAAACCCAATGGCCTACGTGCCCCATTCTGCCCCCAGCACCCGGGAGAGACTGCAGGGAAGACGCTGCTCTGAGAGCAGGGTTCTTGACAGCCCCGCTTCATGCAGGTCCCCCCGAACAACAGGCCCGGGTGGCTGGGCCTCCCCAGACGGGCTGGAGCTGAGCCTGGGGGGCCTGCCCAGTGGGGCGACGGGGGTGTCAGTGGATGCCCGGTGATGCCTTCCCTCTGGGAGGGGTTCCTGTAAAGGCAAGAGGCCAAACTGACCACAGGGACCCCAATACCAGAGAACCCCACCAAGGCGGAAGTGCCCTGAGGAGCCTCCAGAACGCGGAGACACGCGGTGTCCCACCAGCGCTTAGCAGGAGTGCCCGCAGCCTGGACGCTCCACCTCGTCTCCCACGCTGTCAGAGCCTCACTCACCACAGGGGCTGCAGGGAGGCGGCTGGGCTATGTGTGTCCAGTGTGGCTCATCCGGCTACCGCCTTTTCATTATCACACAGCGTGGGCCCCACGGTCTAGGACTCTCGTCCCAGGACTGGGAGGGAGGTGCTGGGTCTGGCGGGGCCTCCCTGGAGCACAGGGACCCAGACCACCCACTGCTGGACAAACAGAATGGAAAGAGCATGCGAGTCCATCAGAGACCCCACCCCTACAAACAGGGATGCATCCCTGTCCGAGGCACTTCTCTTTCCAGGGCTTGGGGCTCTCCTGCCCCTGGGCCCACAGAGCACCCCCAAAGGCCTCACTTCCCAGGAACCTGCCTGGCTTGGGAAGCCAGAGGCCTGCCCCCCTGCCCAGCCTGTGGGGTCTCATTTGGGACTGAGCCTGGTGGGGTCTGGCTGCTCCCAGCAGCCTCACTGGGCTTCAGAGGAGAGGCAAATCAGGCAACTCTGAGGGCCCCGTGGCTTGGGGGAGCAAGAGGCTCTTACTAGGCTGCTGGGCTGCAGCACCCCAGGCCTACAAAAACATGCAAGGCTGCCCGTGCTGACCGTGGCACCTGCAGACCAAACACGACCCACAGCCGATGGAAGCCAGTAGGAACGGGGCCAAGAAACCAGTTCCAAACCCTTTGCCTGGAGCAGGGCCTGTGCGGGGGGCCTCCTACGTGGCCAGCTTGTCCAAGAAAGCCCACCTCTACCCCCCGTGTAGGCATGGGGGTTCTGGTGGGAGGAGGGATGGCAGAAAGAGCAGGCGGCCAGGACTCAGCAGCCACGGGGAGGCTCCCAGGAGATGCCACACGAATCTCTCAGACGCCACTGGAAAACCAGCTGAAACACTTGTACCCCTGGTGCAGGCTCTGCTGGGGTTTCCAACCAAGCTGACGCTTGCACGAGCCTCGTGGAGGGCCAGGGGCCTGCACTCAGGGCCCCCAGATCCACAGGTGCTGAGGCAGAGCCGCAAAGCTCCCAGAGAGCGCTCAGTGGATAAAATAGCCCCCACCCCAATGGGCCCACCTTCCATCTGCCTGTAGGAGGGAGGCGTCCTGGATAAGAGCGTCGGACAACAAAGATTGTTTGCGGAACAAAAAGGCGATTTTCCAGTGCTCAGGACATGACATCTGTTTTCAGAATTCTTCCCACAGAAATTTCCCGCTGAAGGTCAGGAGGCCGAGACGCGACTCTAACCTCGCCTCTGCCCTCTGCTGATGTGATTTTTCCTCCGAGCCCTCCAGCGCCTGCACCACGCAGGACATTGTTTGTGGGACGCTCAGATCCCGCTGTGGCTTCCCAGCCCGCGTGGTCCCAGGGGTGGACGGGGGCGGGGCCCCAGCCATCCGCGTGCTCTCCCCCAGCATCGCCTGGGCTGCACAACATCCAGGCCCCAGACCAAAAATAACCTCCTCCGAGAGCAGAAGCCACATCTAAGGAAGCAGAGCCCCCATCAGCCCCAAGAAGCCTTTTTAAGGAAACAGCCAGACGCAGGGTCCCTGTGCCCAGGAGGCAGGCCCAGTTGGGGCCCAAAGACCACAGCCTGTCAGCAGAGCGTGTGAAATCGGGGCAGACGAGATGAGGTGTCAGCAGGCCTCACCCACCAACACTGTGCCCAAAAGCCACAGGGGGGCAGTTCCCCCAGCTGCCGCTGCTGGGGCCAAAGCAGGTGGGACTCCCTGTCAACACTCCCAACCTCCTGGCATCTTGCACAGAAGGGCCGCATGGCTGGAGACGAGCCAGAGGCCCGGCAGCTCCCTGGCCAACGCCATGTCCAGAAGCGGGGCCCCTCCACTCAGAATAGCTGGAGGCCCCCAAGGAGACCAGCGGCTTTGGTGAGAGGGAGGCCCGGGGTTCTGGCAGCACCAAGCTCAGGACAGCCCAGGCGGCGGGAGCAGAGCGAGGGTCCTGGCTTTGGAGCCACACAGGGAAGGTCATCTGCGTCACATTCGGGGGAAAAGCCAGGAAACCAGCGGCTTCAGGTGCAGGCCTTGTGGACAGAGCGCAGCAGGGGGGTCTCACTGGACGCCTCACACCACGTCCACCCAAGGGGAACGGGGATGGGGGCAACAGGTCAGCAGGCCTGAATGCCCACCAGGACACAGAATGTTCCAGTACGTCCCTCTACATATCCACAGAAGCCCAAGGAAGCTCCCAATGTCCTTTTCACTGTGAGGCGGAGGATAAGAACACACGAAGAAGCCATGATGCAGACACACCCGCTTTGCCTCCCGTCACCCCACCACCTCCCCACCAGGCCGCCTCCACTGGCTCCGCGGGGCCCGGCACCAGCCCGGCTGGCCCTCCGCCCACCCGTCTGCATAGCTCCTGGGCGGCCGACCCAGCACACGGTAAGACAGCCTGCCCCGTGCAGTCCCCCGCCCCTCATCCTCGGCCGCCAGGAGCCCCTCAGCTCTGGAAATCTAGCCCCTCCCGGGGACTCGGCAGGGTCCTGCGCCACCAGGGCTCCTTGCTCGGGGTTGTCCCACACGGAGCCCACAGCCACCCCCGGGGCACGCCACTGAGCACACACATGCCAGGCAGTGTCCGGCGACTGAGCCCAAGGGGGGAGCCTCGGCCAGGCCCCAGCGTGCCTGCCTGGCTTCCCTCCCAGCTCCGGGGGCAGCCTTCAGAGGCAGGGCCACCGACCCTGCCTGCCCGGGACCCCCCACGCCCCACCACCACCACAGGGACAGAGGGGGTTGAGCAGCTCTAGTTTTGCCACAGAGCGAGGGACCGGGGTACAAAACCAGGCTCACCCATGGGAGGCTGCAGCCCCACCCTCTTCCGCGCTCATTCCAGGGCCACGACCAGACACACGCAGCTGAAATCCCAGCCGGCCTCCAGGCCCGGCCCACCACCACCCTCTTCTAGAAGCCTCCCCCGCCCCCGCCGGCTGCCCCAAGCAGTCTCTGTCAGTGCTGCCATCACAGATTCTAACAGGCGCATCCCCTGTGGCGGAGTCCCTGAAGCCAACCAGCCCCCGGGGACACCGGGTCTCGTCCCGGAAACCATGGTGCGCCCCGGAAGGGAGAGCCTGGCCCGAGACACTGTGCGCTTTCCGCCGGCCTCTGCAGGCGACACGCAGTGGGAGGCGCTGAGTGCATGACACGACCGGGACGCGAGGGGCGGGTTTGCCCAACCGCCAGCACCATACCCCTCAGAGGGACCCCGACACACACAGTGCCACCTCCCTTGGTTCGAGCGGCCGACTCCACCCCGGGACGGCGAGGGGACGGCCCGCTGCCCCCACCCGGGAGCGGCTGCAGGTGGTACCTGTGACGTCCAGCTCCCCCTCCAAGCTCTGCATGTAGAGCGGGCACTTCTGCTGGATGAAGTACAGGAGCTCCACCGAGTTAGACATCCAGAAGAGGATGTGCTGCAGGTCTGGAACCAGGCCGGCCATGGGGAAGCTGGCCAGGGAGATGGGCTCCTGGCTGCCAAGACAGAGGACCCAGAGTTACTCCTGGACAGTCCCCCGGGAGGCCACATGCAGCAGTTGGCACATGAGGACGATCCAATGGGACACCCCCAACCCCACCGAAGCCAGGCTGGGAAAGGGGGTACACAGACAAGCCGTGGGACACGAGAGGCCGGAGGCACGTGCCCTCCATGCGGCGCAGGAAGGACTGCCAGGGGCCACAGCCCTCGGTAAAGGGCTCTTGTAGACTGTTCTCACATCATCCCTCTGGGACTGGGGTAACTAACGAAGGAGCGTAGAGGAGAGTGTGTGCAAATGTGTGTCTGCCCCGGGAGGGAGTGTCTGTGTGTTATTTACGTTAACGAAATTAACGGAATAACCAAACAGCAAACTGTTGTGGGAGGCACACAGGCAAGATTAGCTAAGAACTAGGTGACCGTAGCTGGAAGATGGCTTCGGGAGTCAGTGGACCAGACAGCAATCAGAGCACGGCACTGGAAGATTTAGGGTTAACCATTAGAAAACCAGAGGCTGCCCCTGAGATGGACCCAGCACCGCCCACATACACACTGTCCACACGGACTCCCCCACCAGGGCTGAATCTGTCGCTGCAGCTCATTAAATCAGAAAGCTACCAGGCACCAGGCACGGGGCTGGGACCTTCCCGTCCCTCTGATCATGGTTACAAGCCTGGGGGGCAGCCAGCTCAGCCAGAAGCTCCTCCAGAGGCCCTCTTCCCTCCCAGGCCGACACCTTGAGGCTCCGTGCTCCCTATCTAGGGGACAATGGCAACGTCAGGGCCATCCGCCTCCAGCGTCCGGCGGGCTCCAGCCAAGCCCAGACCCACCCCGGCCCCCTCTCCTCGCCTCTGGTCTCCCAAGCGCCAGCCCCTGGGATGCAGGACCTCGTGCCTGTGAGCCGCCCGCTGTGACAGGAAGCTCCCGGCACCACCTCTCCAGAAGTCTAGGGTGGATGTGGCGAGGCTGAGCTCAGCTCTGGGAATTCCTCAATTTCAAGCATCAACGGCCGGTCTTTCTGGACACGATCCCCCATCTCGTCGTACCCACTCGGCGGAGGCAGGTCAGTGGGCCGCGCTGTGGCGGCCTCTGAGGATGCCCGAGCCCGGCGGCTGCAGCGGGCGGAACGCGCGGTCTCCGGTGCAGTCATGATCACACCACCCAGACATGACTCAGGTTTGTCTGAGGGGGACACCGGGCTGGCTGTCCAGCGGTCCCAGGGACCCCTTGCCCGAGCAATATCGCTATTGGCGGATCATGAGGGGCAGGCCAGGTGGCAGCGGGGCATCTGCGAGGACAGTGCTGTCCCCGGGCCCAGCAAGGGCACAGGGCCCTCTGTCCTGCCTGGTGGGCGCCACAACAGCTCAGGGGCTCCCTGTCATTCGTGATGGTCACAGCCAGGGTCGCAGGGAAAGAGGCCCACAGGAAAAGCCACGGGGGCCACAGGGGTGGCAGGCTTGTGAGGCAGCGTTGGCCCCGAGGTGGGGACCTCAGGCTCCGATTCGCACGTTCCTCTTGTGCCCGCACTTTTGTTGTTCTTGCTGACGTAACTTCATCCGTGTCACCACAGCGTGACCTCTCTGTGCGCCCTGCTCCCACGAGCGAGGGAAGGAGCTGGCCTCAGGCCGGGTCTCCCTGTTCTCACAGCTAGGTGGGTCCGCCGCTGCCCCCCGCCCGCCTCCCGGAGCCCCGAGTGCCGCTCCAAACCCGTGCCCCGCGCCCGCGCACGCCACGCGCGTTTGTGTTCACAGGCGTGAAGAGGTGCACGTCAGTAAGAAGGGATTCATCTGGCTCTTCGGAGCCGAATTCCACTGTGTTTTCAACATCCACTGCCCTTCTCAATTTCACCCAGAACTCAGAGGGACCGACCGGCCTCTCCTGACAAATAAACCACCAGGTCTTGCCAGCTGGAGTTCTGGTGTCGAATCGCGGCGAGGTCAGCGTCGAATGCACACCTGCCGGCCGCAGGCTGAGACAGCCACACACGGCAGCGCGCGGACGAGCGGCAGCGGGGTCCGTCCCGTCCCTTCAGGCGAGCGCTGAGTGGAAGCAACAATTCCATGGACAGGGCTCCAAAACCAGACAAGTGGGGTGACCTCACGCAGCCAAGCTTCTGCACGGCAGAGGAAGCCATCAACTGAGTGAAAAAGCAATCTACAGAGCAGGAGAAATATCTGCAAACCATCCGAGAGGGGGCTAATTTCCAAAATCTATAAGGAACCCCTTTAACTCAAAAGCAAAAAAACTAACAACCTGAATAAAAAACAGGTTAAACACCAGAAGAGACACTTTTCCAAAGAAGACCTCCAGATGGCCACAGGCTCGTGAAAAGGTGCTCAGCATCACTAACCATCAGGTAAATGCAAACCAAAACCACGATGAGCGCTCACCTCACACCTGTTAGAATGGCCGTCATCAAAACGACAAGAGATGACAAGGGTCGGTGAGGGTATATGGAGAAACTGGAAACCCCTGTGCACTGCTGGTGGGGATGCAAAAGGGTGCAAGGGTGCAGCCGCGGTGGAAAACGGGATGGACACTCCTCAAAAAATTACAAATAGCACTACCATATGACCCAGCAATTCCACGTCTGGGTATTTACCCAAAGGAATTGAAATCAGTATCTCCAGGAGATATTTGGGCCCCACATGTTCAGTGCCGCACTCTTCGCGATACTGGAGACATGCAGTCACACTAAATGTCCACAGATGGCGGAAAGGATAAAAAAAAATCTGGTATATAATACAATGGAACGTTATTCAGCTTTTAAAAATCAAGGAAATCCTACAACATATGCTATGACACGAATGAACCCTGAAGATGTTATGCTAAGCGAAATAAGCCAATCACAGAAGGAAAAATATTGCATGATGCCGCTGAGCTATCTAAGACAGTCCAACTCATGGCCTCGGAGGGCAGAACAGTGGCTGCCAGGGGGCCGGGCTGGGGAGGGAGAAACTGGAAATTGCTAATATACACTTCAAAATTTAAAAGGGTGGTTCTTTGGGCGCCTGGGTGGCTCAGGCGGTTAAGCGTCTGCCTTCGGCTCAGGTCATGATCTCAAGGTCCTGGGATCAAGTCCCACAACAGGGAGCCCGCTTCTCCCTCTCCCTCTGCCCCTCCCCTGCTTGTGCTCTCTCTCTCTAATAATAAAATCTCAATAAAAATTAAAAAAAGGGTGGTTCTCTTGTTAAGTGTTTTTTATAACAATAAAATAAATAAAAATTAATCAAATCAATGACTGCTCTGATATAAATTTTTTAAAATCTATTTGGGAAGCATACGGGAGAGAAATTATTATCAAAAACAAAATCAAAAGCATTTTGCTAATAAAAACTAAATTTTAAGTTCAAAAGATGTTTAAAATACTTCATGAATCAATTTAATCAAGTTAAAATAGAAATTATGCAAGAATAAGGAAATAAAGAGGTTGATGGATCAGAAATCAAAGAAAAAGTAAGCAGAAACAACAATACTGGTCCTTTTAAACAGATGGCAACAGACAAATCCCTGAGAAGATAAACCAAAGGGGAAGGTAAAAGGAAAGATATTAACCAACGGGAACTAAATCCATGAGAGATGAAAACAGTCCCACTTTATTCCAGTAACTTTGAGACCGAAAGCAGAAGCCACTGAAATCAACACAAGCAGAGGTTGAAAACCAGATACACCAATAATCACTGAAGAAATGGGACGGGCCAACCCCGGGGCCACCTGAGACCTCGCCTCCAACAACCTGACACCGGGAACCGAAAACAGACCAGGCGGCCCAGTTCAGTTTCTGTGAACCTTGCTGTTAAAGTCTGACCAGGACAATGGGGAAAAAAAATCCTGGATCAATTTGATGTATGAATTCAGATGAGGAAATGCTAATTAAAATGCCCACAAAAATCAGTATTCTACATGCTACAACAATCAGGAGCCATGAAGGGCTTAATCGCAGGGATTCGGCCATGGATCGGAAGACCTGCTTGCGCAGCGCCCGCACTCACGGACTCCCAGGGAGAGGCGTGAGGGTCACAGATGCACAGAAAGCATGCGGTGAGAGGCACCAGGCGACCGCAATTTGACAAGCAGCACAGCACACGAGGATCCGAAGCCTGCGGGGCACAATGTTCATAATGTGAAGTTCGGGTGTGGATTCTTGGGTGATTGACATAGTCTGTGCTTTTCCACGTTGGAAGTGATTCAAAAATTGTTTAAAAAAGAGGAGAAAGGGAGCATTCCCTGGGGATGGACCCAGGATTGCTTTTTAGGTCCTAACGACACAAGTTCTAGAACACAGACCAGGCAGGAGCTGCTGGGGGGAAGGCCTCAGTTTCCCCGGTGAGCAGGCACTTAGGAGGAGGAGGAGGTACTTAGGGCGAGGGCTGCATGAACCCCTAAAACCTCAGCTCCATCCCCTCCAGGCCCCAACACAGCCCTGGAAGCTCGCTGTCCCCCAAGCTGGGGGTGGGGGGCAGGGGTGAGGCAGTCAGCTGCCCCTGCGCCCCCAAGGCCAGCCCCCTCACACGGAAAACCTAGCGGGCCCGTGCCCATCCACCACCCTCTGAGGGGCCTGGTCTACACTGCGCTCTGCCCTGGTGAGCTGGGCGGCAGAGCCTGGGCCTCCCCCTGCAGCCTTGCGCCTCGGAAGCACATCACTCATCAGCAAACCCTTCCCCAGATGTCACTCTGACTTCCTGACGTCAACAGGAACCAGGGAGTGCACACTTGTGAGCGGCAAGAATTGGGCGCTCAACTTCCAGCCCGGGGGGGACAGCTGGGTGAATGCAAATCTACGCTGCTCCTGACCCAGGCTTCCGTCCCTGCCGGCGAGGGGGGGGCAGTGACGAGTCCTCCTTACCCCGTGCGGGACCACAGAGGACACGGACATGCATGTGGTGACAGCATGCTTCCAGAAACCAGCAGCAGACACGGGAGCCGAGCAGACCAGGGACCCAGCTGCGATGTAATGTCCTGTGTGCCCCCCAACGGCAACGGGCAGGGACCACCCCCTTGACCACGGCTCCTTGGGTGCTACCGCACACGCACGTTCCAGAAGTGGGGCGGCTGAGCTGTGGGCTTCACCCACATTGCACACTCAGTCATATTGTGGGTGCTCTGCCGGGTGCTTTGTCTGCTCGGGGCTGTTCTCAGATTCCGCCACATGGACGAAGCACACAGTGTGGTCGTGCTCACTGTCGCCAAGTGTCCACTGCACAAATACATGGCACGCTGCCACGGGGCATGTGGGTTGTTCCGATCTGTGCTTACGGACAAGGACTTAAGAGCACACCGCCTACACCGCCCCCCCCCCCCGCCCCGCCGTGTGCTGGCATCTCTCCGCGGGGCCCCCTCGGGACTACACTTCTTGGTGGCAGCACAGGCCCGTCTTTCTGACTAATGCCAAACAGCTTCCCAAACCCCAGCAGCGGTGTGACAGCGTCAACAGTGCCTTCTACGAAAACGGACGTGGGCAAATGGAAACAGACTGCCCTAGCTCAAAGTCGGGAGTCGTACATTCTCCCAAAGAGGCAGGCTCGCTTTAACTCCCCAAACCCAGTGCTTCCCAGGGGGCCGAGCACAGAAATGGAAACAGCCACTCGGAGACAGAAGGACGGCGCGCGACAGAAGCCCAGAGCTGACCCCAGAGGTGTCTGGGGGTCCCCCGGGGTCTTGGCCCCATGGGGAGGTGCAGGTCTCCTGCGGAACTAGGGGCCTAAGGGGGCCATACTTACAGCTGTGCCTGCTTCTCCGCCAGTTCTTTGGTTTTCTCCTACAATTATAAAGACAAAAAAGCAAACATGAGAAAAAACAGGATACCACAGGACATGCTCAATGAGAACACCACTAAATCCACGGTCCACCATCCACATAAAAACCACGGCACTGTTGTTGCAGACATCCTGTACCATGCGGGCTGTTTACGCGAAGCAAGGCTGGGAAGGATAATTTTCCATTCCGTTCCTGAATATGACCTGCACACTTCCGGCAACAGACACGATTTACACCCAGCTCACTGACATAACCGCTGGCACGTTAAGAAATAGTAAAGCAGGTCAAACATTTTACAAACACCAGAACGAAGTCTCTACTAACACTCATACTGTTAAGCTTCAAACATACACTTTCCAACATCAGCTGCCGGGACAAGGAGTACATGGATGTGTGCTTGAGTATTTACAAGTACAGTTAAACATCCCAGCAGGACGCAGGCTTAGCCAACATTTTCTGTCTCTTTTAATCAAGAAATGGTTCTTGCTTTAGTAGCAGGTTGTTATCTGGCTAAGGAGATCCCCAGTGGCTGCCTCCGTTACTTGTTCTAGGATCTGCCTCTAGTGAGTAGGACAGAGAGCACTTGATGCCCAACAAACAGACAAATGAAACATCTGGGGCTCTCGACAGACCAGGGCTGAGGCTCATGAACAGCACAGGGAGAAGCATGTGGGGAAGCACGCAGGGGATGGCCTGGATCCAGACTCTATTTCTGAGCTCCAGACCTTGGATGAGGTTGTTCACCCCGACAAGCCTCGATTTCCCCAGCTGGGATGTGGGATACGGCACCTGCATCAGAGCATCTGACTCACTAGGAAGTGTCTGGCACAGAGCAGACTTAGGATGGGCCGGTGGTCTATGTAGACAGTCACCACGGGCCCTGGTGTGGTCAGGCTCCCGCACGGCATGGACTTCACCTGGCCGGTGCACAGACCACACGAGGAAAGTGACCACACCAGGACAGTCCCAACATCAATCCTCACGGGAACCCTGGGAGGTGGGTTCAGACGCCCGCGATGCACATGGATAACTTACACAAACCTCTGGACATGACAGCCCATGTTGGCTTTTGCTTTTAAAAGGTTTCGAACACTTTAAGTGCGATTTTAATCTGAGGACTCTATCCAGTTTCTACAATCTATGCAGTTTACAGGCCGAGATAAAGGGGCGTCTCTTGGAGGGACTGCATGTAACGACCAGCCATGCTCTGGGTCCCCAGGGAGTCGTCGCTGGGCGGGGGCGGGGGGCGAGGGCTGGACCCAGGCAGCCAGCAGTGCGCTTGCGCCCGGTCCTGCAGGGACAGGCTGGCAGTGCCCCCAGGGGACACCTGGCAGTGCCCGGAGCCATTTCCGGGAGGGGAGGGGAGCTGCTGGTGCGCTGGGTGGAGCCCAGGGGCGCTAGCCAACACCTGACAATGCGCAGGCAGGCCCCGCAGCAAGGCCCAAGCACGCATGGTGCCGTGCTCTAGAGATGCTGATGGAGGAAAGGGTTTCCACATACAGAAGTCAGCCAATCCTGTGCCCCCACCGCCAAGCTGACAAGGGCTCCACACCGAGGGCTGGCAGAAGCCCAGCCTGCTCCTGGCAGAAAGCACGGGGCTCCAGGCCATGTCATCGGCCAGAGCTGCCGATGCCACGGCCGACCACTTGAGGACACAGTGCCACAGAGGACACCCCAGGCTCCCTGGGTGTGCACAATCAGGGAAGGCCGGCCCTCGGAGAGGAGGGACTCCTGACCTCCCCCCCCCAGGTGGCCACAGCCCCCCCAACACCCCCGCCACAGCGCCCGGCATCCCGGTGACTGACCCAGACCGTCTCTCGGATCGCCTTAGCTATCTTGAGCAGGAGCTGCCCAAATGAGCCAGGCTCCAGGCGGGTGGCCGAGTGCTGGACGCAGAGGCAGAGGAGGAAGGCAGGCGCCAGCTTGTGGTCATCACCGCTGGGCTCGATCAGGGTCAGGATGCGCTGCAGCAGTGCATCCTCCACTTCGGGCTCGAACTCCAGGTGCAGCAGCCTTGGCCGCGGCAGGGTGGCCCGCATGGAGCCGGAGGTGGAGGCGTCCCGGGCCCGGAGCATAGCGCCGCACACCCCGCAGCCACGCGGCACGGCGCTTAGCCTGGCCAGGGCCCGGGCCGGCAGGGGCTGGGCCTGCGCTGGCTCCTTGAACAGCAGCAGGTAGTGGAGGCCGAGGGAGAGCAGGTCCCCGTGGCGCAGCACCACCGCCTGGCCCCCCACCTCCGAGAAGTTGACGGAGACGGGTGCCCCGGGGATGGGCTCCAGGACCAGCCCACTCCCCACCTGCTCTGGGCCCGGGGGCTGGTGCCTGCGGATGGTGCAGTGCAAGGGCAGGATGTCAGGGGCCGAGAGGCTGACGCTGGGCTTGCTGGAAGGGGTCCTCTGGCCCACCGTGTGCTGCTCCCGGTTCAGCAGGTACACCAGACTGTCCTGAAATGCAAAGCCCAGGCCTCAGGGACAGGACACCACCTCAGGCAAATCCATCAGTGGGGAGAAAATGAAAGGGTGTCCCCATCTGGTCACTTAAGCCACGTGGCCAGGACCACCATCCTGGGCCAGCCCTGCCCTGGAGTCCTTCCTAACCTGCTGCTGGCCCCCAGCCTGCTGCACGTTGGGCACCCACCCTGTCCCCAGGGGTGGAGGCTTCCCAGAGCAGCCTCGGGGGAACACCAGACACCCAGGATGACTCTAGCTTGGACACAACAGAGGCCAGACAAGGGCCGCGCTGGGCACAGACCCTGGTTCACAGGCACGACCGAGTGTCGTCGAGCACCCCCACCCCCGCCGGTGATCTGTCACACGCCGTGTGCAGGCATCTCCTCTGTGGCTCCCGCTTACCGAGAGCAGATGTCTCCTCGTGAGACAGAATAGGGACAGGACTCCAGTCTCTCCCAAAACCCTAACGCAATGCAACGATTCCGTAAAGAAAAAGCTTCCTATAAGAAAACTCCTGAGCCTGCATTTCTGGAGCAGTAGGTCTTAGGAGCGCATAAAACAGGATGTCAACCTAAAGCAGTGAGTCAGTGCCGGGCAGAACCCATGAGATCCAGACCACACCCGTCTGCACCTGCTTGGACCCCAACCCTGGCCTCCGAGCGTGTGCTGTGACCACCGGGAGCCCTCAACTTACCTCTCCCTCATTGAAATGCTAAAACGCACACCCAGGAGTGGGGATTTAACACACTGAGACATGCAACGTATGGAAAAGCACAATGAGTACGCAAGTGCCAAGAAAACCCTCACTTCTACCCCTCTGCCCACCTGGTTCTTGAAGAAACCCTCCCGACCTCCCCATGGAGAGTCAGCCTGAGGATGCCTTCCCTTGTGCTGTTGCCCTTGGGCTGGAGCATGAGCCCCGGTAAAGCCTCGCCTGGAACCCTTGGCTGGCCTCTTGTCGATTCCTATGGTGTGCAGGCGCCCGGCCGGGTTCGGTGGGGCGAAGACCCGGGCACCGGAAGCCGTGGCACTGCACGGCGTGCACCGCCCGAGGGAGCTCAGCAAGTCGGCATGGACAGGTGAGCAGGGAAGGAAGCGCCAACAGAGGGGCTTCTGAGGGCTCCGCTCCTCCAGCCAAGGGCCCCGACAGGAGTGGTGGGAAATGCTGGTCTCCTCACACAAGGCTTCCCGCAGCGCACGCGAGGCCATGTGCCACAGGAGTCCGCCCAGCACTCACCATCTGGACAAGGGGGTGGACCTGTGTCGGGGTCCCCAAAGCCAGGGCACGGCATGGCCCCAGACACCATCTAGAAGGTGGCAGACTGTTCTCTGAGAAGGAACCTGGTATCAGGTGAGCCCCTTCCCCACCACCTCCTACTGTAGCCTGGACGGAGAACACCCTGGAAACAAAGCACAGGGAAAGCCTCCACTTCCTCCAGAATCTGGGATGGCCCCGCACGGTGGTCCCCACCACCACATTTCTACAGCCTCATCGTCATCAGAGCGACTGTGGCCGCAGGAGCTCACGGCTGACTTAGCTAGCGGCAGGAGGAGGCCTTCTAGTCTGAGAACTGCCCGCTGGGCTCCAGGCAGCAGGGCGGGGCGGGCGGGGGTGGGGGGCTCGGGGAGGAGGAGGGGCGGGCTCACGTGCTGGGGGCTGTAGCCTTGCAGGAGGAGCAGGTGGGGCGACTCATAGAGGGAGTAGCGCATGGTGTCCTGGCCACGCTCCTCGGGGCCCTGGGCCGTGGCCGCGCTCAGGCTGCTCTCACTGATGGTGCGGCGTAGCTGGAGTGGGGGGGGGCTCCGCGCACCCCCCGAAGCCAGGGCTGGGGTTCCCTTGGCACGGTGCCGCTGCAGCCTCCGGGCTTGAGCGTTGATCCCTGAAACAGAAGAAACACGGGGTAAACAGTCAGAGCCTAACTGAGGCTCACCTCTGGGTGCTTCTGAATTCAGATCGCATGAACCCACTTGTAACACCAGGCAGTTTGATCAACAGATGTGGAGAAGTGTGCAGGACTCCACCCTTTGACCCCACCCTGGCAAGGCCAGGGCCCCTCTGGGCTCCCCCTGAAAAGCAGGCAGCCCACCAGGGCCGTTGTCCCGAGGCTCCTTACAGGAGTCCATGACCCACCCACCCGACCAGCCACAGCACAGCCCCTCCGCTCCAGACACCAAAACCACTGCAGCATCGACTTCTGCCAGGTCACCATGCCAGGGGGTCCTGTGTGTCACTGCACTGTCCTCCGAGCCCTGCCGGCCCACCAGCGTGTGTGTGCGCGTGCGTGCATGCCTGTGGGTGTGGGGGGGGACAGCGCGTGTGTGCACGTACATGAGCGCTTGCTGAGATCAGATGAGATGAGAACTATGCACAGTCCCCCTGCCCCCCCATTTACAAGGAGGAAGGGGTCCCGGGCCGGGTGGTGTGTCTAGGACAGCACGGCTGCTCCTTCCCGTGGCCGCCCCCGCCACGGCCAGGTCAGAACGCACACACATGCCCATGTATACACGCAAGGACACATGTGCACATGTGCCCCCCCCCCATGAAAGAGTCTGATACATCCAGGAAGTGGTCTTTTAAACAGATGCTGCCAGAAAGCCGAGAAGCCAGATGGAGCCAGGAGGCCAGTCTCCCGTCACCGTCAGGGCGGACCCTGCGCTTGCTTTCTGAGCCCTCTGCCGACCCCCCTCTGCACAGCCTCCATCCACCCCCACCTGCAGCCTCCCTTCCTACAACCATTCCACCCGGGCCGGACAAAGCTGGAGGAAGGGAGGCAGGCTAGCCGGAGCAAGGGTGCTGCCTTACCGGAGCCCGGCCCTTCCAGGAGGAAGCCAGCTTGCCTGCAACCCGCAGGAGGTCAGGTCTGCAGGAGGCCAGGCGGGCGGAGGAGCCGCAGAGCGAGGCTGTCTGCCCAGCGCCTGCTGCTCCGCGCCTGCTGCTCCCCGCCTGCTGCAGAGCCGGCCGGCTACTGGCAGTCTAGCGCAGGAGGGAGGTAGGGCGGGGGAACAGGGGCATGGGGGGAGGGAGCAGCTGGGGCCAGGGGGCAGGCAGGGATGGGCAGAGCAGGCAGGAGGAGGCTGCAGGCACAGGGAGGAAGGAGGGGAGCAGGCAGGAGAGAGCAGGTAGAAGGAGGAAGTCGGGGACAGGCAGGGGCTGCCCGGGACTGCGGTGGGGGAGGGGGGCAGAAGGAAGTGGGGGGGGCAGGAGGCGTGGGGGAAGGCAGGGGAGCAGGCAGGGGCTGGTGGGGCAGATGGAAGCCAGCCTCCACCCCCCGGCCAATGTCCTGTCCCACCTGCTACTCTTAAGGATGACAGACTCCAGGACTTGGAGCAGCCCTGCATGACCATGGGGCCATCCCTGAAAGAAGAAACATTAAAAAACCGGTCCAAAATGAAGTTCTAGCCCCAAAGCTTTCCCTCCATCTAGGACAGGATGAACCTCAGAACGACCTTCCAGAAGTCCAGAGCCTGAGAAGGTGGTCCTCTCCTCTTAGATTCCCAGGGGAGCCCAGCGCCGCCCCCCAGATGAGTCCTGAGACCAACACCAGTGTCCCCTGGACTGCAGCCACATAGGGAGCTCCCCGCCGACCGGGCCCCTCTGCAGGTGGACTCCTACCCCCACCCCCCGGCGGACGGCCCTCCTGGTGTCCAGAGCCGGCTTCTCCGACCCTGCTGTGGAAAGCAATGGTCCTCACCCTGCCTGCGCTCAGACCCTCCAGGGGAGTTTTAAACACTGCAGCTTGGTCTGGCTCCCAGGTCTCCTTCCTGGGTCCTGGGGCGGCCACGTGAGCACTGAAGGGCCAGTGGCACAGAGGCCGTCAAATGGACGCGCCACGGCCAGCACGGCTCGGCTGCGCACAAGCATGCCCACAGCGCCCCGTGGACACGAGCCTGACGTGACCCCGCGCACACCCTGCCCACGGCACGTGTGGACACCCACGCGAGGACACTGGATGGGCCACAGGACCCTCTGGGCGAACTGTGGTCCTAGGATGAAGACGCTGCAGGGGGAAAAGCCGGGTCAAGTGTGCACCCAGAGGTGGGTGGAGAAAGCAGGCTGGAGCATAACACGTAAGGAAGGAGACCTCTGTTTCCATGCTTCAAAAGCACAGAAAACAATCCAGGCATGTTGCTCACGGGTTACCTATATGCGCATGAAAAGCTATTTTTTTTTAAAAACTCTAAATCAATATGATAAAAAAATGTTAGGTCAATCCTGGGAGGAAAGTATGGGTGTCAGTTACATTATTCTTTATACTTTTACTTCGTTAAACTTTCTTAAAGTAAAAATCCTAAACATCTTGTAGGCCTCCCCCAGGCATGTGACCTGCCTGAAGCGGCTGCCGCAGATGCACCCCAGGCCCATGCCCAGGGAGCGGCTCAGAGAAGGATCTATGGCTTCCAGAGGGCTTATAAGGACAGCCACCTTCCCTGCTGACATCTGATTTTCCTTCAGCTTTGCCGTCATCGGATCCATGCATCTGAGCACCCCGCAAAACCAGGACAGATCTGCCAAACTCGGAAACACCGTTCTCCGTTCTGGGTGGAGGATGCCAGGTGGCACACAGCCGGACAGAATCCTGGCCAGACGTACCCCAGAAACCTTCAAAGGCATGGCACGTGCCGGTGGCCTGCACAACACGGGCGTTTTCAGGGCACTTGGCCCCCAGGGCCCAGGCCACCTGTGATGTGGCTAAGGAGCAGAGAGCAAGGGCTGGGGGCATGCGGCAGGGGGAGGTGGTGGCGGAGTCAGGAGCCTAAAGGTGGAGTCTCTGCCTGCCCCCTCTCCCCACCGAATGGGGATTTCATTCACAAGGGGGAGACTGGACTGGGAATCACTGTTCTTCAGCAAAGGAGGTCTAATGAAATAAAAGGGCCACAGGGTCCACACCTTCCACAGCACAGGGACTCTAGGTGGAAAGCTATTCATCCTACAAAGAGCGTCAGGCCTTGCTCGTGGGTGAAGTGGGTGGAGATGCACTCCACGGCCGGGAGGCCGGAATAAGCCCACTCTCCCATCACAACTGCCCCCCCCCAACCATGGGCCGGATGTGCTGATCCCACACATTTTCCTGTCATGTTGCGACTGAGCTCAGTGGGCCAGAGGCTCTGGCCTGATTCTGTAGGTCTGAGGGACACCCAGCAATCTGTACTTTGTAAAAGCACCCAGAAGGTTCTGGAACACAGCAGACAGGCATAGGAACTCCTGCTGGGCCACTCTCCCTCCTTTGTACCCAAAGCCCTATCTACAGAAATGCACCGAGCACTTGGTAAACTTACTTGAGCACCTACCAATTTAACTTGAGTTTTGGATTTCCAATTATTTTCTCTAGATAAGTGTTTGTCAACTCCTAGAAAGGTGGCAGATATGGGGTTCCCCACTCCACCCTGACATATCAGCTCTGGTGGAAAAGCAGAAACACACCCAGCAGAAGAGTGAAAGCAGGGGTCTGGGTAATCAGAACCTGGAGAGGACTCTCTGCTTCCACAGGGCACACACGGGACCCACCTTGTCATGTTCACAACCAAGGACACACACACGGGACCACCTTGCCCTATTCTCACTGAGGACACACATGGGACCCACCTTGTCGTGTTCCCACCAAGGACACACGCAGGACCCACCTTGTCATGTCCACAACCAAGGACACACACACAGGGCCCACCATGCCACCTAACACTTGCTAAAACACACAGGCACCAGACCCAGAAGCAAAATATTTCTTTCCACATTTTTTTAAAGATTATTTATTTATTTATTTGACAGAGCGAGAGAGAGTTAGCAAGAGCAGGAACACAAGCAGGGGGAGTGGGAGAGGGAGAAGCAGGCTTCCCGCCGAGCAGGGAGCCAGATGTAGGGCTCGATCTCAGGACCCTGGGATCATGACCCGAGCCAAAGGCAGACGCTTAGCGACTGAGCCACACAGGCGCCCCTTCTTTCCACATTTTAAGAGGATAATTGAACTCGAGGAGAGGCACAACTCAGTCACAGGCGCTGATGGGTGCGCAGGGTCCACCCAGCCTGGCCTGAACTGTTTGCCTCTGACTCGGGAATTGGGCGGAGGCTCCTACTCTGCAGGTGTGACCGTGATCGAGAGAGTGAGAGAGTGAGAGAGAATGGACACATTCACAGAAAGGAGCTCTGAGCCTTGCTCTCCCCAGCCACTGACTCTAGCTAGCCCCTCTCCTGCCCGGGGTGAAACCCCCCAGCGTGCGGCTCTGCGGGGCAGGGCTCCCTGGGTCCTCATCCCCTGCTCAGACGTGGTGGGGTGACGCAGCCAACCAGGCAGGGAAGGAAGAGGTGGGGGGTGACACCCTGGGCCACACGGCTCTTTGACGTGCAACCCCCTCTTCCCGCCACAACAGGCTGGTGAGATGTCCCCTCTGCTGGCAGAGAGGAGAGGACTCTGCCCATACCAGGGGTGGCAAAATTGATTTTGAAAACAGTAGGTAGCTGTCACCAGAGCTCCGGTCATGGCTCGATGCTGGCTCCAGAACAGCACTGGAAAGAAAAACACAGCTCTTTCCTGAACGTCACTAAGTTCAGCACAATAAATTTAACCTGCAGGTTTTACCTCGGAATCCTGTTTGCTCTTCCCTCTGGGACTGTGAGTGTTTGAAACAATATGTACAACTTGGAAACTTTTGTGTTGCCTACCCCCATGGCCCAGGTCTCACGGATGTGCTTACCACTGGCGGTTGATGGGGCAACAAAATGGTCCTAAGGGAATTTTACTAAAATCGAGGGAATTACACTTTTTAAGTGATCCCTAATACCAGTTGGGGACCTAGTGAAGGTCTGCTGAAGCACAGCAGCTGCTGCAAAATGCAGAGGGAGGCTCAAGCAAGTCCTCTTGAACTAGAACGCCCTTTTCTACCTTAG